CTCACTTTAAATTAATGCAAATGACCCCAGCTTCAAATGCTCACAGAACATATTCAACACACACACACACACACACACACACACACACACACACACACACACACACACACACACACACACACACAGGCACACACTTTGCTGTACGTAAATGGATACACACACATTAACGCAACAATGTGCATTCACAGACGTATACACATGCATGCTCCGACACTCCTAACATAAACTGACACATTCTTAACACAGAAGATAATGGCCTCATCCTTGTGTCTGTCCATTTGCTAATGTCCCATATGTGTTCGCTTGGTTAGATTTCAGTCGCAAGCCCGTCTGCATTCTCTTCAATGAGTCACAGAGTGCGAGTGCATCCCCTGTGTTTAAAAAGAGCATATCAGTTCAACGAAAAAATAACCTAATATCTGATGCTCATTATTGTCACTATTGTTTTTATTTGATTGCAGCAGCTTTTTCTTAAATAGTAAAAGATGTATGTGAACTAATGTCCATGCTTGCCATTAAAATATCCCCTGCACAGATAGACCTTCAATTAAAACGGTGAAAATGTTTGCTTCTTAATACTTAATTCCTGCTTACACCACATCTTACAACTGTTTCCAAGCTTGTGCCCTCACATCCAGCTCAAGACGTGGTGGGGGTATTTTGTTGGCTTTAAATGTTAGGATACAGGAGGAGTTTGACCACTACAAAAAAAGAGAACAGTTCGAATTGGGGCAGAGAATCCCTCAATATTTTTTATGAAATAATGTTCCTCACTTTGACTGCCCACTCAGGCTTCTCTCATTTGCAAGTGTGACAGAATGGAAACTCTTAGTCTGAAGTCTGCTCTGAACGCCCAGCAGAGGCATACAAAGACCCCCCCCCCCTCCACCCACCTTCCTATCTTTCCTCGAGCTAAGTGGGTTGACTCTCACTGCAGGAAGTCTGGAGGCTGTGCACAGATACAAAAAAAAAAGCATTGAGTCCACTTGTAGTGCTTATCAGCAGAAAATAACTTGATTTTAATCTTGGATCAGATATATTATTAATAATAGATCCAGATTTCTGGGTCATTTTTACTGCATTGGGATGCTATGAAATATGGAAATTTGCCCAAAATTGCTGTTAATTCATGGACCAAACTCCGTGAAGGGTCTATACAGTACCTGTTGCTACTGCTCTTTATTTTACAGAAAGTTCCACCCACACTAAAAGGAGACATGGGGTCAGGAGGGTTGGTGCCAAATGATGAGGTGTAATAATGCATGAGCACTTCCTGAGACATATGACATAACGACAGGTAATGAAAAGCACAGGGAGGAAGCTATCAGCGAAATGATTTAAACAAACATCAATAGATTAGCTTTCAGATGATTTAACAATGTGTCTCTTGCTCGTTCACAGGAATCCAAAAATAGTGAAAAGCCCCTTGCAATTTTAAGCTATAGGCTGACTTTCATATTGTGACTCAACAAGTGTATTCAGATATATCATTCATGCTACTTATGAACTGTCATTCATCACATCGTTGTTCACAGTGTTTGAGTTTGTCCTAAATATCAAAGAGAGGGATGTCGTTTTCAAATACTTATAAAAAAAGACAACTTTAATTATTGCTCCTATTGCAATTCAGAGTTTGTAACTTTAACTTCACTCACATATGCACAACAAAGTAAATCTTCTGGTGCCGCCGGGAGTCATGTTTGACTCGTATCAGTGTAGATGATAGACAGCATGGGGACGTCAGCATTAAAGTAGGTTGCCAGAAAATAAACTTTGGGAGAAATGTTGTGTAACACAGAAATTAGATCAGGGATAATTATTCATGACATTTACAGTGAAATAAACTAGAAATGTACAGACGAAATTTGCACCCATCATGATTATCCTAATCCAAATCAGTTCTCTAATAAAAATAGTTTTTCTCCATTTGAGATGGTGTTGGCTAATGTTAAACATGTGCAGTTTGTATGAACTAAAAGATCACATTAATATATGAAGTGTAAATTCAAGCCATTCTGATAAAGGCAAAGATGTGGTGCCATCTGCTGGTGTTACAACATACTTCACCAATATTATGTGATAACTGCATTTTTACTGTCCCACCACTGACTTTCCAGATGTATTACAAATCCCAAAAGAAGGAGACAAAGTCAGAAAAACAATTTCAAATCTTACATATTATTAACAAAATAGTTTATTTAGAATATGAAAGGCCTATAGATACTTTAAAACACAAGCTTCCATTGCTTTGAACAATGCTACGTATTCAAACTCCTATTGATAGTGACACATCCTAGCACAGAGCTATTTTACCAAGTGAACAAGGAAATTAAGAGCTGGCATGAGATTCTGACATGTGATTGTTTTAGGTTTTATGACATAAACTAAAATGAAAGACAACTGTGAAATTGGTTCAAACGATTAATGTAATGACCAACTTCCTGCAAAAGATTAACTTTTACCAACAATATGGCAAGTGATCGGGAAACAGCCAGAGCCACAACACATTAAAAAAGTCAGGGTCAGTAATAATTTGATTAAAACAATGTCTCCCCCATCTACATCTACACACACAAGGAGGTTCACAACAAACTCAGATTATCTCTCTCATGCTTCTTTTGTCATCTACATAAAAACAGAATAACAAAATAAAATACATTGACATCTGGTATCTTTTCTGTATCACTACTCTCCTTTTACATTCCCTTTGTCCTTGTTCTTGTCCCTTGGCATACGTCCCATGTTATAAAACTCTAAGTTAGGCCTCATGTCGGTGAGGTGGGCGAGACGGTTGGACATGGCAAAGAAAGCAGTGATGGCAGAAATGTCCCACGCATCCTCACGGTCAAAGCCCACCTCCTCCAAAGACTGGAAATGCTGCTCTGTAATGGTGTCACAGCGACACACAGCCATCGCAAAGTCCAGCATGGCCCGCTCCCGAGCAGACAGCTCTGCATTCTCATAGCTAACAATCACCTGTACCAGGAAGGAGAGACTTCTTTAAAATAGCATGTGATGTTATAACGTTTTTAACCATTAAAACATTGCTTGGCTCTGAATAATTCAAATGCCAACCCTTATGCATGTATGCAGTAATTGTGTATTATAACACGCAAAGCAGAGGCAAATAGTAAAAATACATTTGTACCTGATCGGAAAGAGTGGGCTTCTTAGAGTAAATGCGATGCAATGCACTGTGGGATACCACACAGTAAAGACACTTGTTGTGGACACTGGTAGCGACTACAATCAGCTCACGGTCTGCCTTGGTCAATCCGCCTGGAAGACAATTGGTAACACATTAATGTAAAATCATGAAATCAATAACACATTCACACAACAACAACATACAGTACTTAGAATCAGAGCTCGTTTTAGTCAACAACTTATTTAGATATGAGCAAGCTTCCTCTTGAAACCGGTCTAAGATATTTAGGAAGTGGCCACAATGTCAAAAACACCTGCACAGACATGCAAAAGAATGTTATATTGTTCCGTTTAGTAGAGGTGGTGGGAAAAAGATCGAATCACATGCACCTAGGGTTGTACTGGTTGAGGATAGATTTCTATTGTAAAGTGAAGCATAAATGCTCGAAGGCAAATATGTCTAAACACATTTGATAACAAAACCAGAGAGGGTTTATCAAATAATCACAAACAGAGTGCAGAGTTAATAGAGTTTGGTTTGTTTAAGTAAAATAGCTATAGTGGAATCGGCCAACATGATAATGGCGTGCTCTGTCATTATCCAGGCCACTGAATTGGTCTACCCTCAGGATCCACATGACTCCTTAGTCACCAATTCAAAGTTCATACTTGATTATTTCTTTCAGAAAATGAAAAGATCACCAAGACCAAATCAGGGGCAAGACTTTAGCAACAAAAATGCCTAAGGACCTCCTTTTCTGTTTTAAAAAGGAGTGGATCTATACTTCCCCTCTACAGTCTTCCCTGATTGTTATGGGCAGTGGCTGTCTGGGTTGACATCCACTGTATGTTTATGAGTTGTTATGATTGGTGGGGATCAGACACACAAACAAACCTGTCTCTTTGTTCATTAGTTCATTGTAGTAACTGAAGAAGGCTCTGAACTCTGCTGGTCTATGAGAGAGGACTTTAAAGACATTGGGCAAAAAGCCTCCCTGCAGAGAAGGAAACGTGAGGTTTAGCAGAATAGGACCATGTTAATGTGCAGTATTATATATATATTTTTAAATGTTGTTTTTTCTACCTTTGACTCAACTTCCTCCATAACATCCACTATATCATGAGGAAGGTCTTTCTTGTGAGGAACTGGATACCGACTGATATTCTCCGGTGGCGGATCGCTGCTGGAGAAATGTCGGATTTCAGCTCCAGACCGAAGAGAGGCCTGGACGTAGGGAAGGAGTTACATTAGTCATACACAAAAGAACCATAAATATAGAGTAAAGGGTTATTAGACAACTTACCAGCTGTCTAAACACAGGGGGACGACATAACTTCCAGACGAGGTTACTCGCCATGTTGCCTGGCTGAAAAGTGCAGGAGAGACGCCGGCCGTCTTTTATCAATCTTTCCAAATATCAGCCACCTGTGCAATGGCTGTTGCGGGTTGTATCAGAATCATATGATCATGACAGTGGTTGTGTTGTCAAAAAATATTCTGTTTTGCTTCGATATGTCAGAAGTTATTGGTCCTGCAAAACAAACCAATCATGAAACCGTATTCAGTCGCGCCTGCTGTGTGTACCCGCCCTCCTGGTGTGTGTCCTCCTCGCCGCCAGAGGTCAGTGTGGAGAGGACTGGCAGGGTTTTACGCAGCCAAAAACATTTGCAAAAAAACAAACCAAACAACCTGCGTGTTTTGCAGTTTAAAGACAACAAAGCCCACAGACCAACTCATTTTGGGATTAGTGCATATTCTATTCATCCGAATATTAAGGGAGATCTCTGAATTTATTTATTCAGAGACCAGAGCGTATGTTTTCTGAGAGACAAAACCCAGGGCAACAAAATCACACTCCTGACCCCGTGACCCGGAAATAACCAAAGTCGCGAACGAGCGACATATTTTCATTCATAAAGTAGAAAACGGGTTGGATAATTTATCAAAAACAATACAAATTAACCGACTACGGTTTGAGCGTAAACGCAAACATGTTTTACCATGTAAGTATGTGTATTACTCTCCGTGTATGGGCCGACCGATAGCAGGGTGTTTGGTTTAGAATGTGTAAATAGTTCGTTGTTTAGCATCTAGCTCATTTAGTTTAACACAACTTATTCACATCATTGCCGCACACGTTGTTATGTTATAGTTATGCATAAATACCACTAAGTTTTCTATTGGCTTTTATTGCACCCGCAAGATCACCTTTATAATAATCTAATACAATGTATATTATATTATGCAACCGACACTACCTATGGAAGTTTTTTGTTTTCAGATTTCTTTGGAGCATGAAATCTTACTACACCCGAGGTACTTTGGCCCTAACCTCCTCAACACCGTGAAGCAGAAGCTTTTTACAGAAGTGGAGGGAACCTGCACTGGCAAGTGAGTAGCTCCGAGTCTTAATCATATGCTGACAATTGCATTCAAAACACTTTTTAGTTTGTTCTTAGCTTAGTGGCACCGAATCTGTATTTGGACTGCAAAGTTGAAATGTCAGGTACATATTGCACTTATTGTGTGCAAAATATGTTACTAAATAGTATTGCACTTAAAGACAGTGCAGAGAACTTATAAACACTTTCAGGGCAAGAGGCTAACATAAACAAATTATCGTTTCCATCTGCTTTATAAGGGATAAACTATTAAGTCATAACAATATTCTAAGGATGATCTGAGTTTATTAAGTAATGTTGAATTATGGTCCATAAACAACTGTACGTTTTGACTTCTATGTTCAACCGAAAACAGCCATTTTAATGTGTACGTGTGTTCAGTGCACGAGGCAGAAATAAACACATTATCACTTCCATCTGCTTTATAGGGTATCAACTATTAAGTCATAACAATATTCTAATGATAGTCTGAGATACCAGCCAAATGCAACAGATCAGGACCAGTATTTGCTCTTGAGATCATCATAACAGTTTAAACATGTATAAAAAAAGTGCACATACATGTCATTGATTTAAGTATTTCTCTCTTCTAGGTATGGCTTTGTCATCGCAGTCACTACCATCGACAACATCGGGGCGGGTGTAATCCAGCCGGGGAGAGGGTTTGTCCTCTACCCCGTCAAGTACAAGGCCATCGTGTTCCGCCCATTCAAAGGGGAGGTGGTTGATGCTGTGGTCACTCAGGTTAACAAGGTGAGGGAAAACACAGTGCTATTATGGCCACTATGCAGTTTTTCTTGAGCTGAAACATTATCCTTTGATGACATGTAAAGCTGACATATTAAATCAATTAAACTCGGATACTTTGGGATATAAATCATATTATATATAAAGATGACTGACAAAGATGATTGTACAACAACTGTATTTTAAACGTGTTCGTTCAATTCTCTAGAGCAGTTATAGATGCTTTTGCAGTGATTGATGTGTTGAATATTAACTAATGAATAGCTGACAACAGACATTATTTTATTTTTGTCTTATTTTTAATATAATAAAATTGATTAATTGTTATTTATATGTTTCTGTTTCCTGCAGGTTGGATTGTTCACAGAAATTGGTCCCATGTCCTGCTTTATCTCTCGCCATGTGAGTTATCTTAACATCTATAGTTTTGGACCGCACTGGTTGGCTTTCACCCTTTTTTGATTTATATTGTCTTTATCTTACGAGAAACTTTGTTTTTTGCAGTCCATCCCCTCAGAAATGGAGTTTGACCCAAACTCCAATCCTCCTTGTTATAAGACAACTGATGAGGTGAGAATTTTTATTTTTATTATTGGTACCAGCTGGAGATTAAAACAAAATAAATCACAATAATACCGAAAAATGTTCTACAATTTTCTCAATTTTTAACAAAATGTAATAAGTACATGTCACAGTCCAGTTAATTTGAATAATAGTTGTGTTAAAGGTTTTTTTTCAGAACACGTAAGTAATCAGGAGTCGAACAAAAGCAATAATTAGTGATGGTGCTATCCTGTTAACTGTTGCTGAGTCTTGCAATAAAGAAGGTTTTTCTTCTTTTTGTTTCAAGGACATTGTAATCCAACAAGATGATGAGATCCGGCTGAAGATTGTGGGAACAAGGGTTGACAAGAACGACATTGTAAGTGTTTTATGTGTTTTCTTCTCCTCGTCATACGAACAAAACTACTTTACAATTTTACTATTTCTCAGATTTTCATTTATAGAAGTTAAGAAGTGATTGTTGATTTACTGAATAAAAAACAAATGCTTTTCTCTTGTTTTTTAGTTCGCAATTGGATCTCTTATGGATGATTATCTGGGTGAGTATTACAAAGAACTGTGTCATACAGGTGGCTGATCCATCATTAGATCGGCAGGATATTGAAAAGTCTTGCAAAGATTTATTTATTTTTGATTAATGTTGAGTACAACATGGTATTAGTTCCATTTGGTAACTGGTTGTGATGAACAGTTTTGGCTTTGCTGTTTATGACTTCACTTATAAACATGTTTTATTTTCTCTTATATAAATGATTGTTGAACTTGCCTTCTTTATTTTACTTTCAGGTCTTGTCAGCTGATTCGCCTCAAAAGGAGCACATTACACATGGGACATTTTATGTCATAGTTATTTCTTGGTCAAAAGTATTCATTTTTCTTAAGTGATTTGTATGTTGTCAGGAGTTTTGACATAATTTCATTTGTTTTTTCATTGGAATAGGTGAATGATTGCTAAATTCATAGCAAAACTGCATAGGCTACAATGCAGAAGCGGAGCCTAATATTAATGTACTCTAATTTTAATGTAGAATTCATAATTTCTATCTGGACTATCATTTTTTTGTACGCTGAGTGTAATAAAACTATTTTATTTGTTAAATCTTTGTATCCTATTTTGTGTTTTAAATGTCACTGAATTGTAATATCTTGTCACTTGTACATAACATGCTGACACCGTCTCTGTTCAAATGAGGCGAAACGTGAACGCGGAAATCACAGGGGCGCGCACGGCTGGTGGCCGTAAATACGTCACCGGAGCGTTCGGTCTTTCTTTCTCTCGTCCTGAAGATGGCGGCAGGGGTGAGTAAGATGGCTAGCTTTATGGTTTTTCTTTTAACTTTCATGGGTCAATCCGTTAAAAATCAGCAACATCCGCACTCTCAATAATTACCTTAGCATTTAAACATCACTTTCAACCCGTTAGGTAGATGTTATTGGTGGTATTTATGTAAAATGTCATTCATTGTTCCTACAAACTAAGGTTAGCTTCTGCTGTCCTGACGTTGCATTCACGGCGATTCACGCCCAACTTCTGGCCCAGGCTTGTGCCACGTTACCATAGCTATTTTCAGGATGTAAAGCTTAGTGTTGCATTGGGAGTTTTACTTTACGTTGGTGCTAATGTCCTCTTTCTGTAGACTTGTAACCAATATTTGTTTCACGTTTTTTAAAGCTACTTGATCCACAGCTGTAGAAACAACTGTCGGGCTGTATTACCGGTACTGATAGCTAGCATGTGTTAAACAAGCTACAAAGCACGTGAATATAGCTCAATATTTTACTCTCATTGTTCAACTGAGTGCATTTGGCCTTGTTAGTCGATATAGTTAAATGGCAAAGTATTACAATCCAGCGGCTTCACCTGCCCTAATTTCTGCCCTGTACATTTTAAATGGCCAGCATCTCGATTGGATGGCACCTTCATTTGTTCATATCACTTAAACTCGACGTGTGGCTTTTATCCCATCATTCTTTTACCTGATAGTTATTTTTTTATGTAGGCCTAGTAATCGAGCAATATTACAGGGCTATTACAATTTATCTATTTATTTATTTTAACCGTAGGAGATAATTCAACCAGAATGTTTGTGCTTCATAGGCTAACCTGCTAGCGAAAATGCTACTGTGAACCTTCAATTGGGTTGCTTTTTGAAATTGTTTTCTAATGGCAGTGTTTCGTTTTATTTGTTTAGACTCTGTACACATACCCAGAGAACTGGCGGGCCTTCAAGGCCCAAATTGCAGCCCAGTACAGCGGGGCTCGCCTCAAAGTCGCCAGCAACTCCCCTGCCTTCACCTTCGGCCAGACAAACCGGACCCTTGCCTTCCTCAACAACTTCCCCCTGGGCAAGGTACGTGTTTCAACATAAAAAAATGTTTGTTGCAAATTTGCTGCTTTTTTTTTTAAATAACATTATCAAATAATAAAATGTAAATCACAGAGGTGCTTTAACAAGTTTAACTGACACTATTGGTTGTGTATCAAACATGTCTATACACTGAATAGCTGGAATTTCTATGTTGGTTTGTAACAGTCCTTAACACCAATTGGGCAACTCCATTCTTCAGGGGAAAATAGATGTCCCCTGTCTGGGCAAGGCGGTGTCCATTCATGGCACAAAGTCTTAATCTGACGGGGGCAGAGAAACTAGAGACCATGTTCATCCCAGTCGACTCTGTCAGTGAGTAAAGGCTGGTTCATGCTATGGGCACAAACTGAACCTCAAGATTTAGAGCTGATTTTAGGGTTCTGAAGCTTGTAAGATGAGCTGGGCTGTGTCAGCAGTCAGAGCTTCATTTAAAAAAAATGCTTACCTTCCATAATGTCTTTCAAAAAGGCATTCAAAATGTAAGGTAACGAACGGGCAGTCACTTTTCTCTTTTTTTAAAAGAGGAAAGTGTTGTGCCATAATACAGAACTGAGTTACCCCAAAACAAGTGTATGAGTTGATACATTTCACCTGCTGATTTTTCACACAATGGTTGTGTATCAAACATGTCTATACACTTAATAGCTGGCATTTCTGGATAAAAACACGCTACAATTGTTGAATTAATCCCGAATTCTGCTTCTTCCCCTCCCCCCTGTAGGTACCTGCCTACCAGGGAGATGATGGTTTCTGTCTGTTCGAGAGTAATGCCATTGCTCACTACTGTAAGTGTTTATTAATCTTACCCAGTCTGTGTGTTCATCAAAAAGTTTACCTCGAATCTTAACGGGATAAATGCTGACTATCATTTCCCACAAGTGTAGAATTTTATGGTGGAATTCATTGTCTGACCCAGCAAACCATTAAGTTAATTACTGCACTGGCGTGTGATGTAGATAGATCCCTGCACACTTAAGCAGAATGACAAGTCGTACGTGATGTATTTTACATTTTTGAAATGTCTTTTGCACATTTCAATATCCTTTTTAGAAAATGGACAATGTACATTTATCAACATTCAATATGTGTATTTCCCTTTGTTTGCTCTCTGTCCAACATGTTTATTTGTACAAATATATATATATATCTACATTTTTGTATTCTTGTACACTTTCTACCACAGTGAGCAATGAGGCCCTGCGTGGTGCCACTCCCCAGGCCGCAGCCCAGGTGCTGCAGTGGGTCAGCTTTGCTGACTCGGAGATCATCCCACCAGCCAGCGCATGGGTCTTCCCAACTCTGGGAATCATGCAGTTCAACAAGCAGGTTGGTAGCTCAGCATTTTCTGGTCAAGTTAAATACTTAAATTATGGTTTGCTCGCTGTGGTGGAATTTTGGTGTGTAACAGTCATTGACACCAATTGGGCAACTAAAATAGATGTCCCCTGTCTGGGCAAGGCGGTGTTATGTCATGGCACAAAGTCTTAATCTGACGGGGGTAGAAAAACCAGAGACCATGTTCATCCCAGTCAACTCTGTCAGTGAGTAAAGGCTGGTTCATGCTATGGGCACAAACCAAACTGAACCTAAAGAGTTATAGCTGAGTTTAGGGTACTGAAGTTTGTAAGATGAGTTGGATTATTTAAGTAGTCTAGTTCATTCAAACTTAAAATGTAAGGTACGGGCAGTAACTTTCCTCTTGTCAAAAATAAGTTTTGTGCCATATTAATACAGGAGTTAAACCGACAAGTGTATAAGTTAATACAGGAGTTAAACCGACAAGTGTATAAGTTAATACATTTCACCTGCTTAGGGCTGGTTTCAGTTGGCCAGAGATGATGCATATTCATTCCTTGGTTTGATTCTGTGCAGGCCACAGAGCAGGCCAAGGAGGATGTGAAGAGGACCCTTGGAGTGCTGAACCACCACCTGAACACGCGCACCTTCCTGGTGGGCGAGAGGATCAGCCTGGCTGACATCAGTGTGGCCTGCTCCATTCTCTGGCTCTACAAACAGGTATGACGTGCACTCTGTAGAAACAAAGCTACACCGTTTGAAATAAATCTTAAAGAAACAAGTGTTCTCCTTGAAAATATTTAAGTCCAGATGCGCTCCTGAAAGTCCTAACATGCCACTCTGTCCCCTGTAGGTGCTTGAGCCCTCTTTCCGTCAGCCTTACCCTAATGTGACTCGCTGGTTCGTCACCTGTGTCAACCAGCCACAGTTCAAGACAGTCCTTGGAGATGTAAAGCTGTGTGAAAAGATGGCCCAGTTTGATGGTAAGTCATCAACAATGAAATGTGTATATTGAGCACAAAGCTGGCTGTTGTAGCATATTGTCACATTTTAAAGGATGAAATTAGACCTGCACTTTTTTTTTTTTTTTGACACATTGTTAATTTTCCAGACTTGTACTCTTAAATGTAAGCAAAACAAATGCGTAAAGGATTGTGCCTCAAGGAACTGGATGTCATTTAACAAAGGGCTGTTAAAGTGTAACAAGAATGCAAAGGAAATACTCTATTGCCTTTTAGGGACAGAAACCCATCCCCTTTTCTAAACTGTCAAATGTATTGCGATAATTCACAATTCATGCTTTTGGTCAGGTAGGAAATTCCTTTCTGAGGAGAAAAAAATAGATGTCCCCTGTCTGGGCAAGGCGGTGTCCAATTATGGCACAAAGTCTTAATCTGACGGGGGCAGAGAAACTAGAGACCATGTTCATCCCAGTCGACTCTGTCAGTGAGTAAAGGCTGGTTCATGCTATGGGCACAAACGAATAAATTAAAAAAAGACCTTAATTGACTGTATTTTGTATCTATCAAATGGAACATGTCTCCAGGTTTTAAACGTAGGTGCAATATCTACATCATATAGTAAGTATTGTTTTTTTAACTTAAAACATGTTTTTATGTTTCTCCAGCCAAGAAGTTTGCTGAGATGCAGCCAAAGAAAGAGGCTCCTCCTAAAAAAGAGAAGGCAGGAAAAGATGCAGCCAAGCCCCAGGAGAAGAAGGAAAAGAAAAAGGAAGAGAAGAAGCCTGCTGAAGAAGAGGAAATGGACGACTGTGATGCTGTTTTGGCTTCTGAGCCCAAAACCAAGGACCCCTTTGCACACTTGGCAAAGAGGTAGAACAATCTATATGATTGACTTGTCTTAAGCATTTGGTTGCTTTGTTTTCTGTCTTTCAGTTTTAGATGAAACTTTGCAGTGGCCACCCATGTAAAATAGAAAGCCAATAGTCTGCAGGTTTCCATTTCAATTGATCACCTCTGGAGATTGTTTCCACGAGAGCTTATCGGTGAGTTGAAATGGTCTGCAGACCTTATGTTGGTTTGTAACAGTCCTTAACACCAATTGGGCAACTCCATTCTTCAGGGGAAAATAGATGTCCCCTGTCTGGGCAAGGCAGTGTCCATTCATGGCACAAAGTCTTAATCTGACGGGGGCAGAGAAACTAGAGACCATGTTCATCCCAGTCGACTCTGTCAGTGAGTAAAGGCTGGTTCATGCTATGGGCACAAACTGAACCTCAAGATTTAGAGCTGATTTTAGGGTTCTGAAGCTTGTAAGATGAGCTGGGCTGTGTCAGCAGAGCTTCATTCAAAAATGCTTACCTTCCATAATGTCTTTCAGAAAGGCATTTAAAATGTAACGAACGGGCAGTCACTTTTCTCTTTTTTTTAAAAGAGGAAAGTGTTGTGCCATAATACAGAACTGAGTTACTCCA